CATAGTGTGGTCATTATGTATATCATAGTTAGGATATGTAACTTATTTGATTGGTGCAAGAAATAACATATTTTACAAGGAACCATTTGGGGGCGTGTCTGTGCCCCCGCCGTACGTCACGCATCACATTCTGTCGCTGCCAACGAAAATATGGCTTTCTGGCATAGATGTAACATTCAGGACAAATCTGACATCAGAAATAATGGATGATCAGTTAGATAATGCCTTACTTTCTTTCTAATAAGGTAAATTACTTCATGGTACCAGCAATACCTTTTGATAAGGTAAGGAAGCAATGACGAAGAAAGTCAACATGTTATTTAGTTAGTGCCTACCTTGTGTTTGGTTACAGTCTCAGCCATGAGGGTGCTTTGTTTCCTTCTGGCGCTTGGTGCCGCGGGCCTGTTGCCCCGTTCTGAAGCCTGCCCAAAGTACTGCTACTGTGACAGTTACGAGAAAGATGAATACTCGGTGAGGTGCAACGGTGCGAACATAACAGCCATCCCGAGAGACATTCCAAAGAACACAACAATGTTGGATATCAGTAAGTCTTGCAGTATTGTTTTGTTGCTGACACTTAACAATACTACAGAGTTATTCTACCCTTCCAATTCGTTAACAGTACGTTTCCGTGCATAATGCGTCCGTGAGGGCTTTTGTTGGGAAACATTGCCATTCATTATCAAAAGCAACAGAAAGGTAACTCACAGTTTACTCACATAGACATTGGTTTGCCCAATCTCTAGGTTTCACCCCAATTACCATGTTGCGGAAAGGCGACTTCGTTGACATGCCCAAACTAAAACAGCTGAACGTTTGGTGGAACCTCAACCTGACCATAGTCGAACTGGGGACCTTCGACAATCTACCGACCATCACGTCACTCGGACTGTACAACAACTCCTTCACCAAGTTACCGACCGGACTGCTCGACAGCTTGAAGAACCTTAAGACTTTTGACGCTCACAACAGTAAGCTGGAGATGATCCAACACGGTCTGTTCACCAACCACCCTGCCCTGCAAGAGATCAGGCTATTCTTCAACTACATTGCTACACTGGAAGATGCCGCCTTTGGTGGTCTTCCTCATCTGACCACCTTGTATCTCAGTTCCAACAGTCTTAAGTCCCTTAACCCGTCGGCTTTCAAGGGCTCGCCTAAGTTGAAATCCTTGAATGCTGGCGATAACGCCATCATCTCCATTGGTAAAGATACCTTTGTCGGAACTAATTTCGAGTCGATATACCTCAGTAGAAATGCCATCTATGAGGTTGATACCAACGCCTTCTCCCATATGAAAGGCCTCCAGTATGTTTCACTGGATCAAAACAACATCAAAGGCCTAAAAGGTGTCTTTAAAGACCTTCCTCAACTTCAGTCTGTTTCCGTCTATGGTAACCACCTCACCAGCATCGAGGGTGCCTTCCAAAATCTACCCAAGCTTGACAGTCTGGAGGTGAGTGGAAATCAAAT